TAGCAAAATGAAACAAAATAAGGGAAGACAAAAATAATCATCATGCTTGTAGAAAGCATAATGAAGTTATGTATATATTATTAGCATTTGTCACAAACAGTATGAGAAGAAATATCACAATGATTCCTATGTAAAGTTTTCTGCAAAATATATTCAAAAAAGCATAAATAATTAGCCAAATTTAAGTAGGTAAAACAAATAATGAGCACATATCCTTTCTATCGAGTTTAATTGAGAGTTAAGAGTTAACATAGCAACACTCTACTTAGTTTATGATAAAGAACTGATAACTTATGCTTTTACCTTCGCGGAATCACATCTCCCATCTTTTCCATGAGTCATCCGTTGCTGCCCTTTTAAAATATAAGATAAAATAGGATAATTTTTTTGTTAGAGAATGCAAATGATATTATCATTAATTAGGAATAAGCGCAACATAAAATTGAATTGATACAACATAAAAACAAATAGGAAACAGTACACAAAGTGAATGCAAAAATCATAAAATATATAAATTATTAGCCAAATAATGACAATAATGAAGGACGAGCAAAAAAAAAAAAAAGATAAAACTAAACAAAAAACATTGACGTGAATATATAAAAGAAAAAAAAACCCAACAAAATTCGAAGTATGTGTAAAATGATGAATGGAGTGAATGGATTATATATAGATGGGTATAATGTGGTTTAAAAAGTGAAAATCATATAAATTAGGAAAATTCTTATTCAAATTATGGAATATGATTTAAGAAAATTAGATATACACAATCGAATAATCTACATATGGAAAAATATTGGATCATTTATGTTGACCGATTTCTAAAAAATACCTTAATAAATAAGTATACACGAAAAGTGTGAAAAAAGACATAATTATGTATGTAGATTGATATGTATAGATTTGTTTACTATAATAGATAGGCATAATTAGAATAAATGGTATTTTATCTATAAAGGCAAAATATATAGATGATTGCTTAACATGTGCATTAATGATTTATTACCTTTATAATTTCCTATGATTGAGTATCACAATCTATATAGATTGATACTAAATTGAGAAAATATATTTCATTCCATTAATTGAAATATTACTATTACATTTATATGATAATGCAATAATCAAATAAATTATTTTAAAATTTTAAAACAATATATTAATAGAATAGTGCACAATAGGACGTTGTAGACTCGTATATATATGAAAAAATTAAATTTTATTATAGGTCATTTGATTAATTAATCTAGTACTAATTGAATTAATATAACACATAATAATGCATTAATAAAATACTTTAATGTATATTTACAAAACAATATGAATATAAATTTATAAAAGATTTTGTATATTATTATATAAGAGATACTAAATTCGATAATATATATATTTATAAAATAAAATAAAAAATCGAATATTCATACTAAAATCAAAAAATATATTTCAGAAAATAAAAACTATAAAATTTTTTTTTCGAATTTATAGGATCTTAAAATGCATGAAATATTATATATTGATGATGTAAAAAATAAATCACCTAGTGTGTTGAAGCTAGGAGAGCAAAGTAGGTCACGTGCTCACGAGCTAGATAGTCCTGAGAACTTTAATTTACTCTAGGATTCTGCGAACAGAAAACACGTAACCTAAGCCGGGGGTTGATCCGGCGGAAACCCCTCCGACGCTCAAGTCAGACGTGAAGATAGTTGGTAATTGTGGAGAGAATTCCAATAGAAGAATTGAGGGAATAATAATAACATACCTTCATTCGATGAATTTAAGTTCTATTTATACTTTATTGATTGGGTCGAGACAATTTATCGGGCCCAACCTTATTTGGGTTTGATTGGGCCTCTGTAGAAATAACTATTAAGTTGGGCCTGTGGTCCAGTAAATGTGGGCTATTGGGCTGGGCCAATAGGCATATCATTAAGCCCCCCACTCTCGAATCGATGTGGGAGCGAATTGGAGAGAGGTGCCGGATCGTGTCGAGAGTAGAATTGGATTTCAAATACTTGTTTGTGTCGTTGAGGTGAGGATAATAATAAAATTTTATTATTATTTTTGTTGGGTTTCGGGCACGCATACGCAGCGGAAAACAAAAATTTTACGTGATTTAAACGACTTTAAAACACACAATTACATGCCCGAAGAATTAAATCAATTAATTGCGTACCTTTGCGCTTCCAGCGAAATTAAAAACAACATACATGCTAATAAATTTAACCGAATTTAAATCAATTAACATGCTCGCATTTAAACCATATAACATGCTTGCAACGATTTAATCGATTACACATAATCACATAAAATCATACATACATAAGCATGAAATCATAGTTTAAATTTAAACCCTAAAACGAAACTAGGGTTTCGAGTAATTACCTCTTGACGCGTGAGGTAGGAGCGAACGATACGTCGTGATTACTACGGAAACCAATCCGTAGAATCGGAGCAGCAGCGGTGCGTGGGCAGCAGCGGCGCGTGAGGTCACGGCGGCGCGTGTAGCGTACGCGCGGCTTCGGGGCGGCGCGTGGGGCAGCGTGCGGCTTCGGCTCGTGCGTTGCTCCTCGATTCTTCGATCTACAGTCTTCCTCCTCTCGGATTTCACCTCGTATACTTCGATCTACTAAATCGTGGCACTAGACACGAAGTAGTTAGAATAAAACGGAAAGAAAAATAAAGGAGAAAGAATACCGAACAAAAGCCGGCCGAGGAACGGCCGTTTCCGGCGACGGAGCGGCGACGGCGGTGCGGTGGTGGCCGCGCGGAAGAGAGGGCGAGAGAGAGAGGGTGGCCACTTAGGGTTAGGGTTTTCTTGTTATGTGCTAGGGTTATAAATCATATATTTATAGTCCCTTGCATGAAACCCTAGCGGGCTTAAGTTGGACTGGGCCCAACAGCTTAAGCTCGTTAGTTTCTTTAATCGCTCGTATCTCTCAATTCAATGATCGAAAAATTGTAACGATTACATTTTCCGAGTCATCATAATTTTCTCGTCATTACGAGTGCCATCTCTTATTTTCCAACTTTCCAAAAGTGGAAACCCTAGTTCAGTGGACTTTCTAAATTTGGAAACTTCCCGATTTAGAAAGTTCACTAACACGTTCGCTTATTCTTTTCCTTTTATTATTCTCATTCATAATTCCAAATTACGAACGTTGGACTCAATCATATTGACTTCCAATTATGCAAAGATAAACTATTTTATCTCTGACCGTTTATTCAAAGATCTCATGTGCACGAGCAGTGTGACCTTCGATGGTTCAGGTGTAAGCTAGCCGTGGGCCCACAACCCTTTGTGGTCAAAACTCGTCCCCTTCGAGTTACGATTAAGATGAAGCTCGTTTCACCTTAATCACCCAACGAATCAAGATTGGCGTCTAGCAACTACGCGTCATGATTCCCTAGATACAAATGAAGTGCCTGCAAGAACCTTCAGATATAGTTAACGTACAGTACGGTCCCTTCGATTCATATGTCCCGATCGAACTAGAGGCATTGGTTCATCGAGACCTCTTTATATGTTCAATAACGGTGCGATCGTTCTAAGTGTTGTAATCCTTACGTGCATGACTTAAAGAATCGAATTCTCTAATCATCACTTAGTCAGCTCTGGCCAGAGACTTAGAATGATTACAAACTTTCAGAACACACAGGACATCCAAGACTATTCTAGCGATCGAATCCCCGACTACAATGCACAGACCTCCCACTAGATTTCGGACTGCACGAACACTGGCCCTTGGGATGGTCCTCGGTGGAACTCAGGGACAGGTCACGATACAGCTGGTCCTCTAGTGAAGTCACGGTGATGTCTAGGTCATAAGGACTAATGGTGTACAACTATACCATAGATATCTCTACTCGATTATTGGGAACCACTTAGAGATTTCTAGGGTGAGGGAGTTCAGTGAACTCGTCAACTTACGAGCACCCACTTATGCATGCCGATATCACAATACCGTTTACTGATGAGATGCAGTACACATACACTAAGTGCTAGTCTTAATGGGAAAGGCCGATATCCTCATTCGTGGCGTAACCCTTCGACTAGGAACACGTTTAACAGTTATAATACTTAAGTAAATATCTCACGATCCTAACGATCAATTACTAGTACTTGTAATAACTGTAAGGACTATATCTATGCTTGTGACAAAGGGACAAAGATATAGAATGCCAAGGTGTTTTATCATTAATACGAATAAAGGTTCGTTTATTACAATAATAAATACGAAAGACCACAGCCACAGGTTGGCTTGTTGGTCACCTACTCTAACAATCTCCCACTTGACCTAAAGCCAACTACCCATAAACCGCAATCCCATCGACTCTCGATGTTTCTCATGGACCGATCTTGGTAAAGGCTTCGTGAAGGGGTCTGCAACGTTCTCTTCCGAGGTGACTCGTTCTACCTTAACTTCACCTCTATCAATGATCTCTCGGATCACATGATACTTTCTCAGAATATGCTTCGACTTCTGATGAGATCTCGGCTCCCTAGCTTGCGCCAAGGCTCCGGTGTTATCACAGTACAACGGTACTGGATCACTAGCATCAGGAATGACACCCAACTCTTGGATGAACTTCCTTATCCAAGTCCCTTCCTTTGCAGCTTCGGACGCTGCAATGTATTCCGCTTCGGTAGTGGAATCGGCCGTCGTGCTTTGCTTGGAACTCTTCCAACACACGGCACCACCATTAAGCGTGAATATAAATCCAGAATTCGACTTTGAGTCGTCCACGTCCGATTGAAAACTAGAGTCAGTGAAACCCTCTAATTTCAACTCGGCACCCCCATAGACCAAAAATATATCCTTAGTCCTTCGCAAGTACTTGAGGATATCTTTCACGGCTTTCCAGTGAGCTGGGCCGGGGTTAGACTGATATCTGCTTGTGACACTCACAGCATACGCAATATCGGGTCTCGTACATAGCATGCCATACATTATGCTTCCTATGGCAGAAGCATAGGGCGTCCTTTTCATCTCTTCGATCTCACTAGGTGTTTGGGGACACATAGATTTCGAGAGACGAACCCCATGGGACATTGGCAAGAATCCCTTCTTGGATTCTTCCATGCTAAACCGTTTCATAACGGTGTCTATGTACAGGCTTTGGGATAAGCCAAGCATCTTTCTTGCTCTATCTCTATAGATGCGTATTCCTAATACATAAGATGCTTCTCCCAAATCCTTCATTGAGAAACGTGTGGACAACCATGCTTTCGTTTGCTGTAACATTCCTACGTCATTCCCAATGAGTAGAATGTCATCAACGTAAAGCACTAGAAATATTACTGCCCTCCCACTAACCTTCTTGTATACACAAGGTTCCTCCGGATTCTTCTCAAAATCAAACTCTTTGATAGTTGAGTCGAACCTAATGTTCCAACTACGGGATGCTTGCTTCAATCCATAAATGGATCGCTGGAGCTTGCAAACCTTTTGCTCACTTCCAGAAGATATGAAGCCTTCCGGCTGCGCCATGTAAATTTCTTCCTCAATATCTCCATTAAGGAAGGCGGTCTTCACATCCATTTGCCATATCTCGTAGTCGTACCACGCAGCTATGGCCAGCAAAATCCTAATGGACTTCAGCATCGCGACTGGCGAAAAGGTTTCCTCATAGTCAACGCCTTGCCTTTGAGTGTATCCTTTTGCTACCAATCTAGCTTTATAGGTCGATACCTTTCCATCCACTCCAATTTTCTTCTTATAAATCCACTTGCAGCCTATAGGAACAATTCCTTTGGGTGGATCTACCAAGGTCCATACCTTGTTGGAGTACATGGAGTCCATTTCGGATTTCATGGCAGTTAGCCAATGTCCCATGTCCGCATCCGATACGGCCTCATTGTATGTTCTTGGATCTCGTCCAAGATCAACATGATCTTCATCATTTTCGAGGAGGAATAACCTGTCCGGCATTTTCCGAACTCTTTCGGATCTACGTACCGTAGGTTCAGGAGGTATATTAGTGGTTTGTTGTATTGGTTCGATTGCTTGTTCTTGTGTTTGAACTTCACTTTGTGGTTCTTGAACTACTTCAAGTTCTATCATGCTGCCCTTTCTATCGGATAGAAACTCCCTTTCCAAAAAGGTGGCATTTCTCGAAACAAACGTCTTTGCTTCTTTGACATAGTAGAACTCGTATCCCATTGAGTCTTCGGGATACCCCACAAAATAGCACAAGTCGGATTTACTATCCAACTTATCTCCCACTAATCGCTTCACATAAGCGGGACAACCCCATATCCTAATATGTTTGTAATTGGGTTTCCGGGAATGCCAAAGTTCATAAGGTGTGGATTTAACTGCTTTGGTGTTAACTCTATTCAGCAAATACGCGGCAGTACGGAGTGCATGACCCCACAAGTATGCCGGTAAGTTTGTGAACCCCATCATTGATCGAACCATATCTAATAAAGTTCGATTCCGACGTTCGGATACTCCATTAAGTTGAGGAGTTCCTGGTGGAGTCCATTGGGACTGTATCCCATTTTCTTTTAGATAGTCAATGAACTCGATGCTCAAGTATTCTCCACCACGATCGGATCGTAGCTTCTTAATACTTCGTCCGAGTTGCTTTTCTACTTCATGTCTAAAATCTTTGAACTTTTCAAATGTTTCAGACTTGTACTTCATCAAGTACACATACCCATACCTTGAATAATCGTCGGTAAAGGTGGCGAAGTAGTTGTATCCACCCTTCGCACTAACACTTAGTGGACCACATACGTCTGTATGGATCAAATCCAAAAGACCCTCGGCTCGTTCCATTACCCCTTTGTAGGGTGACTTGGTCATTTTCCCTTTAAGGCAAGATTCACAAGTTTGTAGTGATTTCACGTCCTCCAAAGAGAACAATCCTTCACTAACAAAATCGTTCATCCTTCTTAAAGAGACATGACCTAATCTAGCGTGCCAAAGTTGTGCGGGGTTTTGATCTATCTCCTTACGTTTTGCTGATATAACGTTAATAGGTATTTCACTTGGATTTAGTTCATATAAGTTGTTTAATAGCCGTCCTTTGCAAATTAAATTCTCATTCTTTTGTATAATGCAAATCGAATTTCCAAAAACAAAAGTAAAACCTTCAATATCTAATACAGGAATAGAAATAAGGTTTCTAATGAGCGACGGAACAAATAAACAATCGTTCAAAACAATAGGAAAACTAGAATCCAAAACATATAAGTAAATAGTGCCAATGGCTTCAGCAGCAACTCTTGCTCCATTCCCCATCCTTAGGTAGGTCTCACCCGCTCTAAGTCTTCGACTTCTTGTCATTAGCTGCAAATCATTGCACAAATGTGAGCCACAGCCCGTATCCAATACCCAAGAAGAAGAGTTGACAGACAAATTTACGTCAATGAAATACGTACCCTTTTCAGAACCTTTCTGCTTTAGGTAAGCCTTGCAGTTGCGGCGCCAATGTCCTTTCTTTCCACAGTGATGGCAAGCATCATCAACTTGTTTGCTAACCTTTGCTTTGGGGCCCCCACTACCTTCACCCACTTCGAACTTGCTGTTAGGGAAAAGAACTCTTTCCTTTCTCTTCTTTTGGAAAGAACTCTTCTTTCCAGAAGTAGCAGCAACGAGAACAGACTTCTCTTTCTTAATGGTGGACTCGAAGCTGACCAACATGTTCATTAACTCATCCAAGGGAGGATCTAGTTTGTTCATGTTGAAGTTCACTATGAACGATTCATAGGAACTAGGAAGAGACAACAGGATCAAATCCAACGAGAGCTCGGCCGGGAGGGTGACATCAAGATTCACTAGCTTTTCAAGGAGAGTGATCATTTTGAGACAGTGCTCGTGGACCGAAACCCCTTCGCGCAATCTCGCTGTGATCAACTCCTTTGTAGCAGCGTATCTCGATGCCCTAATATTCTCACTATACATGCTATCGAGATGAGCCTTTATATCGAAAGCATGCAAGTGAGACTCATATTTCCTCGCAAGCGCGGGCTCCATGGCGGCTATCATATAGCACCTAGCATGGGTGTCATCTTTCTTCCAAACTTCATAAGTTTCCTTTTCAGCATCAGTCGCTGTGGCAGGTATAGTGGCGGGAAGCCTCTCGTTCAAAACGTAGAGACGCCCCTCAACAGTTAGCACAAGCTTAAGACTACGCAACCAATCTAGGTAATTAGGGCCATTGAGTTTATTGTCGAGGATTGACATTATGGGATTCTTAGACATAATTATCTGAGACATATAGAGAAGAGGATTATTAGAGATTCGCGTTAAATGATTGTTACAATTAAATGTTTGGACTTGTGTTATTTAATTGTTCTCCCACTAATTTTATCGAGTTCCACTTCCCTCTAGTAGACAAACGAGAAAACTGATTTTTCTTAATGGGCTTTAGGTCCAATAGACAAATATAACCCGTAGTTAATCTAGCCCGATTATATTTGCCCAAAGGTAGATCACAATCAATCATATCCACAATATGACCCTAAATTAAATTTTCCTCACACTTGATAATGACCTAAGTTAATCTCGCGAATATCAAAATCGTCGTGTGTCAAGTCTAACCTACCAATCAAAGATGCTCATAGAACTTGATTATGCCAAACTAATGCAGTCCCCAGTTAATCTAGCCGACCACATTAATCCAACATAACCCTTTTCTACGGCTACCTTCATCATTATGTCAATTGAATTACAGCTTACTCTACCATAGCACTCCCCGCTAACACGGCTTACTGCACTATAGTAAAGGGCTACACATAATCCAACCGTTGGCAGAAGGAAAGAAATAACTCAACAGATTGGGTATTTCTTTATAGCTTGAAATTATTCTTAATTGAATTAAGAATGAGGGATTTTATTTAAAAGTTTTATCTCATCAGAAGGTTTTGGATTGGTCTATGTGATTCCTACATCTATGTTCTCTAAAGGTATATGGAAAGCGCATATTGTCCTAAGAGGAACATACGACCTAATTTCATAATTAATTACATTAATTAATTATCGAGTTTTCAAAATAATTATAGAACCTCAACTAGCATAAATCATTCAAATAATGTTGAGGTACTACTAATTAAGTTGAACTTATAATCAATATTATATATGTGTTCTATTAATTGAAATCAATTTAACAATTTAAATTAATTAATTAATCTAACACCTATTTACTAAAATAGATGATCGTCGATCCAATTATCTAATTGGGATTAATTGAAAATAATTTTCCAAAAATTAAAATCAATTTGTTTTAAGTTTAATTTTAGAAATCTGAAATAAATTTTTTTTTTATTTTTTTTTTTTTTATTTTTCAGTGGACCGGTTCGGCTCAACCGGTCTGACCGGTTCGGACCGAATCGGGCCGGTTCTGTCCGGTCCAGCTGACCCAAATCAGTGGGCCGGGTCAGTTGGACCGAGAACCGGTCTGACCGACCCGAATCCACATGGATTCGGTCAACTAGATCGCACACAACCATCGAACCGGCCGGTTCGGCCGGTTCGATCCGAACATTTAAAAACCGACATTTTAAAATAATTTCAGATCCGATTTTTTAATTTTAAACAATTTTAAAGCTGGAAAAATTCTAAACAATATTTCAAAAATATTTTAAACTTACGAAAACTCCCAATTACACAATACGACAATCACTACTTTAATAAATCGAACATGCATATTAAAACGAACGCAATTAATTGCGCAACGAGCTCTGATACCACTGTTGGGTTTCGGGCACGCATACGCAGCGGAAAACAAAAATTTTACGTGATTTAAACGACTTTAAAACACACAATTACATGCCCGAAGAATTAAATCAATTAATTGCGTACCTTTGCGCTTCCAGCGAAATTAAAAACAACATACATGCTAATAAATTTAACCGAATTTAAATCAATTAACATGCTCGCATTTAAACCATATAACATGCTTGCAACGATTTAATCGATTACACATAATCACATAAAATCATACATACATAAGCA